GACATGTGTCTGGCTTCTGAGCTTTGGTTACTGTGGCTGGTTGCATTGAAGGATATACCTTCTTGAGCAGCCCTCCATAAAAGCCATGTGTGCTGAGATTCAAATGGTCTTCAGCTTTTTCCCACTCTGAGATATTCTGAACACTGTATTTTTATTTCACTACTATAGAGAAAGCTTGTATAAGAAGCCTGTATATGACCTTGCTGGATTGTACCCAGTTGTACTTAATCTGTTTTCTGGTGCTATAGCTGAAGAACACAGACCAGGTAATATGTAAAGGAAAGAAAAGGGTTATTCAGCTTACACTTATGGAGCCTTGGAAGTCCAGGGTCAAGGGGCCAGATCTAGCGAGGGTATTTTTGTTGGTGGAAGCTCTCTACAGAGTCCCAAGGCAATGCACCACACCACTTGGGAGAGAGGCGCAAACAAGAGAAAGAACCAAGTTGCCTTTTATAACACATCTGCTTTTGAAATGAGCTAAACCATTAATCCATTCATAAAGGTAGAGCCCTCATGACCTAATATTCTTAAAGTTCTAATTCTTAATATCTTACAATGGAGATTAAATCTTGGTGAGTTTTCATGGGAACATTTAAACCACAGCACCAATGCATACCCTTTCCCCAACTGTTTGCAATAAAAAGTTTTAGTGTTGAGTATAACCTCTTTTGAGTCATTCTGGTGAATCACAGAACATGTGGTTGTCCTGTGTCTCCTCAAACTGTATTCTAATTAAATTCAACTCTGTTGCTGTCAGAGATCATACTTTGTACAGTTTCAATATTTTGTAAAATTTTAAGACTTGTTTTATGTCTAAGTGAACCATATGCCTTGAAAAGAATCCTTATTCAGCAATTTTTAAGTGTATTGTTCTGTGAGTCAAAGCAGTTGATAGTTCAGATCTTCTATATCTTTGTTGAGCTCTTTTCTAGTTCAGTTAGTTGTTAAAATATGAGTGTTAAAATATCCAGTTATGATTATGAAATTGCCTGTTTCTCCATTCAGGTCTATCAATTCTTGTTCCTGTATTTTAAAACTGTTGTGGGATATATACATATTGGGCACAAATACCTTCCTGTTGAATTGATCCTTTTATAATTATGAAGTGTCATTTTTTATCATATACATTTGATTTTGAAATTTTTCTTCTGATATTAATGCTCAGTTTAGCCTTTTGCTTATGCAAGGTATATTTTTTGTATTAATTTACTTTAAGCATATCTGTGTATTGATATTTAAAATGAGTGTTTTATGAACATCAGATATTTTCTTTGGTTTGCTTTTTACTTTCCTACAATTTCTGCTTTTTAATTGGAATCTTATCCAGTAGTCTTTAATATAGTTATTAATATGATTGGAATGAGACAAGTTAACATTTTATTTTTAAATTTTCTACATATCCTTTATTTTTTCTTCATCTATTCCTCTTTCCCACCTATTTTAGTATTAAGTTTTCTATTTCTATTGTATTAGAATAAGAGTTCTCTTTTATATTTCCTATTGATATTTTAGCTATTCTTTTTTTTAAATACTATTTGTATAGTGGCTGCTCTAGGGATTACAATGTACAGTCATAGCTTTCCATAGTCCACCGAATTACATAATAATGTATTACTTCAAGTAATGTAGGAAAATCTTACAAACTTAGAAGCCTATAACCTGTCCTTTTTGTTATAATTGTTACATGTAAAACACACTCCCCCCATGCCATAATAGTATTTTATTTATTTTTATTTTTATTTTTTGGTACTGAGGATCGAACTCAGGGCCTTGCGCTTGCGATGAAGGCATCTGCACCACTGAGCTAAATCCCTGGCCTCTATTAATCATTTTAATTTTAAACAGTTTTTTGTTTTATAGAGAAATTAAGAAAAAAAGCAGAAAATGATCTTTTATATTTACTCAGACATTTACCACTTTAGCATTTATCACCTGATGCTCTTTGTTCATTTGCCATTTGTCTTTCCTTGCCTGCCTCCCTCATTTCATGTGACACTATGTCCTCCAGGTGCAGCCATATTGTCATAATTGACATGAAATCCTGTCATTTTAAAGGCTGGATCGTGTTCTTTTTTCGTTCATCCATCCCTTGATGGATATTTATGTTGATTCCTATGTCAATTATTATGAATAATGCTGCAATGAACATGAGAATGTAGATATATCTCTGAAATTCAGATTTTTTATGACAGTTATTCTAACAAGTGTGATGGCTAATTGTTTTAATTTGCATTTACTTCATGATTACTGATGCTGAACATTTTTCATATACTTGTTGGCTATTTGTCTTTTTAGATAAATGTCAATTCAGGTCATTTGTTTATTGTTTAATCAGTTTATTTATTTATTTTTGCTATTGAGTTGTTTCAGTTACTTGAAAACTTTGGCTATTGACTCCTTATCAGATGTATAGTTTGCAAGTATTTTTTCACTTTCCATAGGTTGTTTCTTCACTGTTGATGATTTCCATGGCTGTATAGAATGTTTTATAGTTTAAGGCAATCCCATTTGTATACTTTTCCATTGCCAAAGCATTTGGTGTCATTTCCAAAACATCATTGCCCACACCGGTGTCATGGAGCTTTTCCCCTAACATTTATTTTTTTTTCCTAGTAGTTTTACAGTTTCAGGTCCTACATTTAAGTCTTTAATCCATTTTCAGTTGATTTTTATGTGGTATGAAATATAATTCCCATATCATGCTTCTTCATATGAATATCCAGTTTTCATATTCTATTTATTTAATAGACTGTCCTTACCTCATTGTGTTCTTGGCAGCTATGTGGAAAATCATTTAACTGTAAATTGTGAGTTTATGTCTGGGCTGTATTGTTTCATTGGTCCTTGTATCTGTTTATATGCTACTACCATGCTGTTTTTTTGTTTCTTTTGTTTTAGCAGCTAGTTTTCTTGTTTGGGCTTGAAAATCTAACTACTGTTTTGAAGTAGCTCTTATCTTTTTTGGACAGGCCATTAGAAGTGTGGTCTGCATAAACATGGTTCACAATTTACTTAGAAATGTGAAGAGAGGGGCTTAGTTCTACTCTTTATCTCTTTCTCTTCAATGATAAGGGCTTATTGGATTTTTTATGTGGCTTTCCAGGCCTAGAAATGACTGGGTTTTTCATCTGTTCCCATTTCTTCTGTACGTGCATTGACTATGCCTAATCTCAGACTAAAAGGCACATACATCAGCTTCTGTCCTCTGAGTGAATTCCTACACTTTCTTCACTCACCACTGTCTTCAGGGTGGCAGCTCTGTTCCCAGTTCAGAATTGTTCTTTCCTTTGCATCTGTTTCATGCAATCTTGGTTCAGGTTTCAATTAGAGATGTAGATAGACATTTTGGGAATTACTTCTCTGGCTCTATTCCCTAGTATTCCCACACTTTGTTCAGCATTTTCCAACTTGGCTTTTCTGATTCTCTAGGCCAGAAGAAAGAGGATTTTTTTCATGCATTTCCCCCCTCATGCACTAGCTGCTGTTCAAGACAAGCACTGCACTTGGCCAAGGCTAAAAGCTCAGGTGATGAAAACTTAATTTATATAACTTCCTGTCTCCATCCCTCCCAGCAATTGTGGGTTCTTCCTCAGAGCCTGTACACTTCTGCTTATTCTTCAGCACCCTAAATTTATTTCTCTTTCTACTATATCCTGGTTTTGTAATTGTTTTCTGTGGGTATATTTGCAGAGGATGGAGGGGAATCTTATAGTTTCTGAATCCATCATGCTCAGAACTGGAAAGCTTTCAGGAATATTTTCCCGAGGAAAAAACAAATAAATAAAAAAATTTCTGCTTTACTGAGTAATCTCTTAGAAACTACTTTAAGTGACTGTTGGTAAGGTGGCATCTTGTGATGTCCCAGCTTCTTATTTTCCATATAATGGGGAAAGTAGAGGAGGGATAAATTTTTGAGATAAACAGATCCCTTTGGCAGCTATACACAGCCTGTATAATTCCACCACTCTAAACTATGCTGAAATTTAGATAATTTTCACAGAATCTGAAGATTTAAAAAAAATTACTTACAGTTGTTTTGAACCAAATGCTTTTTCTTTTACTCTATTAATACAGTGCATGCCATGAAGTTCATATAATAAATTACTGAGCATTAGTAAATTAACAGTGTTAACATTTTATCTCAGAAGATGATTAAAGAAAATATTTGTATCTTTTATCAAATAATTTTAATTGACAGATTAATCTGTCCTGATATACTTTGCTAAATATTGCTATATAAATGAATTGTTTTAGGAGTGATCCCTGTAATGGTGTTTCCTATTTTTATCTAATTCATTCATTGATGGACTGTATGGAATAGCAAACCAGATAATTAAATCATTTTGCAGTTTCTGCCTCATAAATCAGCCAAAGTAAATGATATTATTAACAAGAACATCTTAAACCTGTATATAGAAATTAGGAAGCTCCTAGAAATTATCATGGAATTAAGAGTATAGAATAACAAAAGTGAAATTTTGAATGAATTGGAATTAAAATGTGAGAGTATAGCTACACACATTAAACTATAAAATTCATTAAAATTCAACTTCCAACACTTTTGGCTTATGGCTCATTATCCTCCTATTACTGCACATGTATGAAATTATGTGGGGTCTTGATATCATTATGGAAAATTATAGGCCTTACTGTAGGTGGAATTCAATATTGAATGGGAATGAGATCAAAAAAGCCCCATTGATCTTTCACTGAAATTAGAGATATGGCATTGTCTTGTCAGTGTGATTATTATAAGAGGTTTTAGTATGGAACTCTTACCTGGGATTTCTCCAAGTGTTCAACATCATAATTCAGAAACTGCCTTCAGTTCTCTGCTGTAGGTTTCTATTTACTCAGTGATATAGGCAGACTGAGGAACTCCATACAAATTTGAGATTTCTGGGTTCACGTTCACTAAGTGGTCATGGTTGGAATCTTGCTGTTGGCTCTAGTGACCTATAACTATGGATCCACCTATACGCAGCCTCTTTCTCCCTCAGGTAGCCAGAGTTGAAATCCAGTGCTCCAAGTGTCTTTGAGGCTTTAATCGCATGACTGAGCACTGAAAATGTGAAAAACAGTTTTAGACCAGAATAACAAGGTAAGTAAGGCTAAAGAATGTTTTTATGGATATTAATGCATGTTGGCAGCAGGATATGTTTTCCAGATGATTCTGAAAGGTTCATTTATAATTTAATGGTTTTTGTTTGGTTCCTTTGAGGACCCAGTTGCATTCCTGTTGATTCTGTGTCAGACTACATTAATTACTACCCTGTATCTTACTGTAATGTCTCTGAGGTAGATGAATACTTCAAGGAAATGGGAGATAAGGAGCTATATTTTCAAGGGACTGCCCTCAAATTTCAATGACTATGTGATATGAACAGGGAGTCAGTCAGTGTTAGAGTTAACAGCGTGAGGTATTAGGTTTCTACACTACTTACCATGGAGTTTTGTGAAATGCTTCACCAGAGACTTTTCTTCTTAGCTTAGTAGCTACATTGGTATGTGGGAGGAGCCTTTCCTACGACTGGCTCTCCTTCTTAGCTAATACTACAACTAGACATTTAAGAGGCAGTTTCCAAGGAGGTGAATAGATGGTGAGGAAATTTTTTTTAAAGCACTTGGATCCTGATTGTCTCCAGAGGCTTTGAAACTGTGAGTTACACAATAAACTGACTTGATCTCCTGGGATCTTTGCCAGCTTTGTAATTATACTGAGATTTTTAATGATCACAAATGACAACATGATTTCCTTCTATTTATTTTCGGAGTGAGGTCATTACTATGTGATAAGGAAAAAGGATAAGTGTTAGTTTGGAAAACTTGGAAGATCAGACTTTAGGCCAGACATAGCAGCATAGGAAATTTAGTTACATAGCCACTAAGTTGTGACTGCTTTGTTTATATAGTCTTGAAGATGACCATTAGACTAGGCAGCACGAGGACAGGTTTCACGTCAGTTTGGTAATTATTGAGTCTTGGCACAATAGTTGGCTGTAGTAAATTCTTACTAATTTTTGTTGGAAGAATGGGAAGTTGTATTATAATGTTTCATGTTTCTGTACTTTATCCCCATGACAATAGAGGTGGTAAGTTTGGACAGAAGGCTGAGTAAGGTATTCTTTAGCTTCTGCTCTTGGAAATCTTAAACTGCTTTGTCTGTGAAGCCTTCATATCTTTTCTGAGTGTACATAATGTAACCATTCTTATTTTATGCTTAATGTTTTTCATAGCCTCTAAGATGTGTTTATTGTATTTTTAATTTGTTTCTCCCTCTTTGTACTAAAGTAGAGAGCTCCATTATTATTCATCTATTTCTGTTATGTTAGTAGAAAGTGTTTAAAAGTAATAGGAAATGTAAGCAATAGAAACTTAGATAAGCATGTAGCAATTTCAAAGGATAAGTTTAGAGACAAACAGTCCAGGGTGAGCATCTTCAAGGATGCTTATCTTTCTGTTTTTCCAATCTACCAAGCTTCACATAATGGTTCTTACCCTCATGATTGTATAATGGCTACACTCCATACCTCACATCTGTATTTCATGCAGGAAGAAAGAGAGCAGATGGCAGAAGGATTTGCCAGAACTATATCTTCTTGAAAAGAATAGTTTAAGAATATTACTTTGGTCAGAACTAGGTCACATGGCTCCCCTTAGTTGCAAGGGAATCTGAAAACTTTTCCAGCCCTTATACTAGAAAAAGGCAGGGGGCAAAGTCCTTGTAGATGGCATTTGTGTAGGTAGTCTACAGTATCAGGTTTATGATTGAGACCTCTGTTAAAAGTGTCCTGGCACATGCCCAGTCAATTATGCTATGCATTTAACATATTTTAGAAGTAGACTCACCATCTTAAATCTCAAGGATAAAACTTGTTTCTTTGCTTTTACTTCAAATTCTTTGTATCTATTTTGAAACTGTGGTCTGGCTCATGGTTTCAAATTAAACATATTTTGGCTATTTCCAAGATGAAGAATATGTAAGAGGTAGAAATAAGTAATAGTACCAAGAGAATATGGTTCCAAGAACTTGTAGTTAGCAGTCTGGAACTCATTTAGTAACAGTGAATTACATAATGGCCTCAGCAGTATGGAAAACATTTAATTCTGTAAATGATAGAATCATTAATATTAAAAGAATCTGTCTGCATCTAGGATTCTGTGATTCTAGATGGCCTTTAGCTTTCAATTCCTACCTTCTGTGAAGTGAATTTAATAGAGGGCTGCAGCATTTTGCGGATATTATTTGTAGTGTAAGTTTATTTAATTTTTATATTAACAAAAAGTCTGGTTATCAATGAGATACCTTCTTTAAAATGGTTGGACTGAGGATGGGAACAGCTGGAAATTCTTACCATCCTCTAATCTTTGATGCTTCCGCCTACTTTTCTTCTCCACTGCATTCTGAGAGTCCTTCCTGTGACTCATGAGTTATGTGTTCTTATTGTGTTCCCTAGACAGTGGTCAAATTTAATGTCTTATTCTTTCTCTGAATACAGAACATTTCTTTGAGGTATAAACTTCCTTGTCCTTAGTACGGTAGAAGAAAAACTCTGCATTGATATCTGTTAGACTAATCCCTGTGGTAAAAGACCAAGATTTCTTCCACAAGCCTTCTATTCAGCTGTTCATGGAAAGAGAAAGGTTTTCTGAAAGTTTCTCTATTTTTGAATTTACTCTAGGAAATTTATGTTCAATTTGGTAATGGAGCATTTTTTCCCCATGAGACCCATATATCTGAGGAGAAAAAGATTGAATAAGGGCACATATGTAAACATTCTACTAAGAGTGGTAGTTATTTTGGGTAAAAGTTTTATTTTTTAAGAAGAAAATGTTCTTGTATGCTTTCAAAATTTAGAACAGAGACTGTGCACATCCATAAAGAACAAAGCACACAATTCTATCAAAGCTATAAAATAAAATATACAGCTATCCCATATATACATTATATATTATATATTTGATCTTACTAGCAATCAAAGAATTGTAAACTAAAGTAATAAGATACCATTTTTAGCATATTAAATTCACAAAGTTAAATCACAAAAGGCTATACTTATTGCTGACAAATGTGCAGAATAGGCAGTATTAAATTTTTTAAATAATAAAATGTTAGTATATCAAAAAGTAGAGAAGCAAGTATAGTGGGAACTTCCATGTCCATTATTTTATTTTAAATCTATTTTTAAAGATCTAATCCTTCCTAAGGATTCCTCCCTTGACTCCCAATCTTCTACTTCCTCACCCCAACTGCCAACCTGAGGCACTCAGTCTGTATAAGCAAGAACTGTTGTATACTGGGTTGAAAATGAAATTGCTGCAATCTTTCTTGGTGGCTAATTAACAATAATTACTCTAGGAATTTAATCTCATAAAATAACAAGAATATATATATACATACATATATATACATATATATACCTACATATATACACATACATATATACACATATATATATATATTTTGCAGCATTATTTATAATTAAGAAACCATCCTAAAGGCATACCAATAGAGGAATTGTTCCATAAATGATAAGTATGCACATAAGGGACTATGAAGCAGCAAGTCAAATATGCATTTCCTAACTTGTCTGCCATGTGTGGGTGTCTCATTTGACTTAATACAAAATATTCTCCATATATATCATCCAAGAAAACACATTCAATCCGCTATTGAAGCATATGGTGTGTTTTTTTTTTTCTTTTGGTACCGGGGATCGAACTTGGGACCTTGCACTTGGGAGGCAGGTGGCAGAACCACTGATCTAAATCCCCGGCCCTGAAGCATATGGTTTTATATCATGGGTAGGGAGATTAGAAAAAGAAATGTAAAGAGGAAAATGGGGAATTAAAAGATTGGTTGAGTTTACAATGAAAAAAAGGTAGCCAAAAAGACAAATTTGGTGTCTCAGCCATCAGTTACTGAACATTTTCTTTGTGCCAGTTGGGGACTGGATGCTATTTTCAGTGCAGAGGCCAAACTATGGTCTCTTCCCTCAAACAGCTTGCAATCTGAGTGACATAATATGCATAGTTAGAAAATTAGAGAACAAATAAGAATAAGTATTACAGATTTGAATACTATAGAAATTCAGAGGACAGAGAGATAATATCCTGCTGGGCTGAGGGAAATGTGTTTCCAAAGAGAAGGGAAATTACAGCATTAATAATGATTTTAAGATTCAAATAAGCCAGAAGGGAATGAATGACATATTTAAGTAAAGGGGAATGATGTGAACAAAGGCTTGGAAGTGGGAAAGTATACAGCATTTGTAGTTATCTAGCTTGACTCAATTTGTAGCATTCCTCTTTTTCTTTCCATTCTTCTTCTTCTTTGTTAAATGCAAGTTTTCCTTATGTATTTTCTTATGTAGTTCAAGCTAGCCTTGAACTTCAATCCTCTTGGCTCAACCTATGGAGTGCTGGAATTACAGGGATGTGCCACCATCCCCAGCAATTTGTAGCATTCTTGAAGAGCAAATAAAAGAGAGCAGAACTCTGAGAGCCTTGTCTTAGGATATGTGATTGTTATGGTTTATGTCTAGATGTCCTCCCAAAGCCTCATGAGGTCATAGTGCTTTTTCAGAGGTGGCTGAATCTAGAGTGTGTGATTACTAAATCAGTCCACTGATTGGTTTGGCATCGCTCTAACCTGGTAGTCTGGATAAGATAAAAAGGGCCAGAAAGACACTATTAAGCTTCCCTTGTTGCTTTTGCTGCTGTGTGGGCACCATGAACTATTTCTCCTCTGTGATGCCTCTCTGGCATGTGCCATTCTGCCTTGGGGCCAGCTGATTATAGACTGAAACCTCTACAAACTGTGAGCTAAAGAAACCCTTATGCCTTTAACTTTGGGTGTTGGGTATTTTGTCTTTGCCTGGAAAGAAAAGTAACTAAGGCAATGATTCAGCTTTACATGCCATTGCATTTGTTGCTTTTAATTGTGATTTGCAAAAATGACCATTTTAATATTAGAATCTCCTATAGAACATATATTTTCAGCCAAGAGCTGAAAATTTTCAATTCTTGGCTCAACACTGTAGTGGGGACAGCATTAGAGTAAGAATCAGACCTAGGATGTAGAATAGGTTCTAATCAAAT